CCCAGCCGCTCCGCGGCATGTGGGATCTTCCCGGAACGGGGCCCGAACCCGCGTCCCCTGCATCGGCAGGCGGACTTTCAACCACGGCGCCACCAGGGAAGCCTGTATACTCTATTTCATTTAGTCCTCAAGCCCTAAGAAGTAGGCGTTCTTACCTCCATGCAGTTCTTTAGAGAGGCTGAAACTTGTCCACAGTCATACAAAGTAAGGAAAGGTGCTGGACCTTGGACCTAGACCTGCCTGCCTCAGACTGTTCTAACCGTTCCACTCCCAAGTGTGGTATAACCACATCTAAAACTTCGTTTCTCGTTCCTAATTCAGTGCTATTAGATAATTTTTTTTAGTATAAATTTATTTTATATATTTTATTTTTGGCAGTGTTAGGTCTTCGTTGCTGCACGCGGGCTTTCTCTAGTTGCAGCGAGCAGGGCCTACTCTTCGTTGCGGTGCACAGGCTTCTCATTGCGGTGGCTTCTCTTGCTGTGGAGCACGGGCTGTAGGTGTGTGGGCTTCAGAAGTTGTGGCTCGCAGGCTCTAGAGTGCACGCTCAGTAGTTGTGGTGCATGGGCTTAGTTGCTCCACAGCATGTGGGATCTTCCAGGACCACGACTCGAACCCGTGTCCCGTGCATTGGCAGGCGGATTCTTTTTTTTTTTTAACATCTTTATTGGAGTATAATTGCTTTACAATGGTGTGTTAGTTTCTGCTTTATAACAAAATGAATCAGCTATACATATACATATATCCCCATATCTCTTCCCTCTTGCGTCTCCCTCCCTCCCTCCCTCCCTATCCCACCCCTCTAGGTGGTCACAAAGCACCAAGCTGAGCTCCCTGTGCTATGTGGCGGCTTTCCACTGGCTGTATTTTACATTTGGTAGTGTATATATGTCCATTATACTTTCTCACTTCGTCCCAGCTTACCCTTCCCCCTCCCTGTGTCCTCAAGTCCATTCTCTAGTAGGTCTGCGTCTTTATTCCTGTCTTGCCCCTAGGTTCTTCATGACCTTTTTTTTTTTTTTTAAGATTCCATATATATGTGTTAGCATGTGGTATTTGTTTTTCTCTTTCTGACTTACTTCACTCTGTGTGACAGACTCTAGGTCCATCTACCTCACTACAAATAACTCAATTTCGTTTATTTTTATAGCTGAGTAATATTCCATTGTATATGTGTGCCATATCTTCTTTATCCATTCATCTGTCGATGGACACTTAGGTTCCTTCCATGTCCTGGCTATTGTAAATAAAGCTGCAGTGAACATTGTGGTACATGACTCTTTTTTTTTTTTTTTTTTTCTTGCGTTATGCGGGCCTCTCACTGTTGTGGCCTCTCCCATTTGCGGAGCACAGGCTCCGGACGCGCAGGCTCAGTGGCCATGGCTCACGGGCCCAGCCGCTCCGCGGCATGTGGGATCTTCCCGAAACGGGGCACGAACCCGCGTCTCCTGCATCGGCAGGCGGACTCTCAAGCACTGCGCCACCAGGGAAGCCCCATGACTCTTTTTGAATTATGGTTTTCTCAGGGTATATGTCCAGTAGTGGGATTGCTGGGTCGTATGGTAGTTCTATCAGTAGTTTTTTAAGGAAGCTCCATACTGTTCTCCATAGTGGCTGTTTCAATTTACATTCCCACCAACAGTGCACCAGGGTTCCCTTTTCTCCACACCCTCTCCAGCATTTATTGTTTGTAGATTTTTTGATGATGGCCATTCTGACTGGTGTGAGGTGATACCTCATTGTAGTTTTGATTTGCATTTCTCTCATGATTAGCGATGTTGAGCATCCTTTCAGGTGTTTGTTGGCAATCTGTATATCTTCTTTGGAGAAATGTCTGTTTAGGTCTTCTGCCCATTTTTGGATTGGGTTGTTTGTTTTTTTGATATTGAGCTGCGTGAGCTGCTTGTAAATTTTGGAGATTAATCCTTTATCATTGCTTCATTTGCAAATATTTTCTCCCATTCTGAGTGTTGTCTTTTCGTCTTATTTTTGGTTTCCTTTGCTATGTAAAAGATTTTAAGTTTCATTAGGTCCCATTTGTTTATTTTTGTTTTTATTTCCATTTCTCTAGCATGTGGGTCAAAAAGGATCTTGCTGTGATTTATGTCATAGAGTGTTCTGCCTATGTTTTCCTCTGAGAGTTTGATAGTGTCTGGCCTTGCATTTAGGTCTTTAATCCATTTTGAGTTTATTTTTATGTATGGTGTCAGGGAGTGTTCTAATTTCATTCTTTTACATGTAGCTGTCCAGTTTTCCCAGCACCACTTATTGAAGAGGCTGTCTTTTCTCCATTGTATATTCTTGCCTCCTTTATCAAAGATAAGGTGACCGTATGTGCATGGGTTTATCTCTGGGCTTTCTGTCTTGTTCCATTGATCTATATTTCTGTTTTTTTGTCAGTACCATACTGTCTTGATTACTGTAGCTTTGTAGTATAGTCTGAAGTCAGGGAGCCTGATTCCTCCAGCTCCGTTTTTCTTTCTCAAGATTGCTTTGGCTATTCGGGGCCTTTCGTGTTTCCATACAAATTGTGCAATTTTTTGTTCTAGTTCTGTGAAAAATGCCATTGGTAGTTTGATAGGGATTGCATTGAATCTGTAGATTGCTTTGGGTAGTAGAGTCATTTTCACAATGTTGATTCTTCCAATCCAAGAACATGGTATATATGTCTCCAACTATTTGTATCATCTTTAATTTCTTTTACCAGTGTCTTTTAATTTTCTGCATACAGATCTTTTGTCTCCTTAAGTAGGTTGGCAGGCGGATTCTTAACCACTGCGCCACCAGGGAAGCCCCATTAGATAATTTTTAAGCTGTTACATACTCACGTTAGTCTTACCTGCCTCTTCCCCGTCCTTCCTTTGGTAAAGAAGGCTTCAGGGGTTTTCCTGGCTGTGTCTGGCAGACACTGTTTGCATTGATGTCTGTGTTGTCAAGTTTCGCTTCTTCCCGCTTCCTTTCTCTGAAGACTGAATTGTGTGTTGTATTTTCTGGAAGTCTTGCCTAAAGAATTTAATCAACTCTGGCACTTTCCCTAGCTGTCTCTCGGTTTCCCTCTTTTGAAAGACCTTATTTGGTCAGGCTCCAGAAACTGGGATTTTATTCTCAAGTTATACATGTCTTTGCTCATAGGTCATTTTGGTCCATAAACAGTGTTAAGCTAAACCACCGTTTATTTTGTCCCCAGTGTGTCACTTCAACTTACGTACTTAGTGTTCTGTTATACTAACATTTCACGCTCACCGATGATGATAAAGTTATACTTTACATTTTAATCTGTTTCCTAAATCGTTCAGTTTTTTAAATTTAGACATCTGTTTTATCCTTTTATAATAAAATTAAGATGTTGCCAGGGTAGCTGTTTTGATTTGAACCATAAGGAGACAAGGAGTTCAGAGAGGTTAAATACTATACCCAGCTTTTCTGAATGCAGATTGTTCTCAGTCACCTCACCATCATGAATAAAAATTGTCCTGGATAAAAGAACTATCAAAACTCAAAAGTAAGAAAACAAGCTAATAAAGAAGTGGACAAAAGATTTGAACTGCTACTTCAAAGACAAAAGGATGGCAAACAAGCTCATGAAATGACGTTCCACATTATTAGTCATTAGGAAATAAAAATTAAAACCTCATCGAAATACCACCATACGCAATCTATTAGAATGGGTAAAATTTTTCAAAAAGAAGAAAATCCTGATAATAAGTGCAGGCAAGGATGTGGAGCGACTGGAACACTCATGCATTGCTGGTAGGAATGCAAAATGATATGACTACTCTGGGAAGACAAGTTAGCAATTTCTCACGAAGTTAAACATGCACTTACTGTATGTCTCAGCAGTCTCATCCCTAGATGAGTCTCACCTAAGAGAAGTGAAAACTTATGGACACACACACACACACAAAACCTGTATGCAGATGCTTATAGGAGTTTTATTCGTGATTGCTCAATGTTGCTTAACTGGTGAGTGCAGTGGTGTACCACTTGGTGATGGAAAGAAATAAACTTGATACATTCTACAACATGGATGAATCTCAAATGCACCATGCTAAGTGAAAAGCCAGACTCAAAATGCTACATGCTGTGTGATCCCATTATATGACATGGAAAAGGCAGAACTATAGGGACGGAGGACTGATGGGTCAGTGGTTGTCAAGACTTAAGCCTGGGGCTAGGGTTTCATCACATTCTCTTTGGGGGGTGGGAGAGGGTGGATTGTTCTGTATTTTGATTGTTGTGATCGTTACATAACTATGCATGTTGTCAAAACACACTTCTATCCACCAAAAAGAGTGAACTCTAGAAATTTAAAATAAATTTAGAAAAGAAAAAAATAGCCTGGTTAGATACACATCTAACTCATGGTAGTTATTGCCTCTGAGGAGGAAGGAGGGAAATGGGACCAGGGTGGAAGTCAAAGGGTATTTTAGCCTCATCATTTATGTTGTCTTAACTTTAAAAAGTAAATAAATGACAATGTGTTGTTTACTTTATATGGTAAGATTATCAGTGTTTGCTTTATTATTGTACATCTTTGTATTTTTTGATTGGTCAAAGTATAAACAAGCCGAAATATATCCTAAAAGAAAACTTTTTTAATATAAATTTATTTATTTATTGGCTGCATTGCGTCTTCGTTACTGCACATGGGCTTTCTCTAGTGGCGAGCATGGGCTACTCTTTGTTGTGGTGCATGTGCTTCTCATTGTGGTGTCTTGTTGCGGAGTATGGGCTCTAGGCACATGGGCTTCAGTAGTTGTGGCACGTGGGCTTCAGTAGTTGTGGCTCGCGGGCTCTAGAGCGCAGGCTCAGTAGTTGTAGTTTACAGGCTTAGTTGCTCCGCGGCATGTGGGATCTTCCCAGACCAGGGATGGAACCCCTGTCGCCTGCATTGGCAGGTGGATTCTTAACCACTGCGCCACCAGGGAAGTCCCCTAAAAGAAAATTTTGAAGAGGCAGCAAAGTAGAAGGGAAAAAAAAAATCACCAGTTGTTTTAAAATACTTGGGTACATTTTCTTCTTTTTCTCTCTACTTGTTTGGTTTTCAATAGTGGAAAATGTACTCTAAGAACAATACAGCCTGTAGCTTTACTTTTACTTAGAGCACCCTAAATATGTTTTTCTTCCTCTTAAGTGATCTTTGTAGACATTTGCAGTGATACAATGTCACTGTTAAGGCCTGCATTTATCTCCACAACTGCTTTCATTTTAGGGATGTAGACATTTCTGTCATATTAAACTGGTATGTTTCACCTCACTATCCTGGGAGTAAGGGTATGTTTGCATGAATCCTGAGAATTATGATGGCTCTGAGCCATTGGGATTCGATTAACAGAAAGTCCTGTCTTTCTCAGGTTTCCCTCCACAAATATTTCCACATTAATGTTCGAGAAACCTGGCGGTCTGTGTCACTGCTGGTCACTTGATCCTGCTGGAGGCCATTAGGATGTGCCATCTCTTTGTATAATGTGCTGTCAAGGACAGCCCAGAGGAGAATTTCCTAGGTTCAGGGTGTTAGTTCCTTTGTAGATTTGTCAGACTCCTTAGATTCACTCATACCATCATTTTCTGAAAGGCACCAGATGATGAGCCCCTCTAATCCAGCACTCTCCTCTGACCACCCCCTTTATACCCTTATAACCCCTTCAGTTTCCTTAGCTGTAAAGTGGAGATAATGACATGGCTTTCATGAATGTGGAATGCTTAGTAGAGTGCCTTGCATTTGATAGATTTATTCTTTCTCCTTGAAGTTCATCTTTGGCTAAAATGAAACCCTCTGAACTCTATTTCTGAGCTTCTCCAAGTAGAGTCTATTTCAGGTCACTGAAATTTAATTACAGGGACTCATGTACCATCTTTCTTCAGGTTTACCTAGCACCATGTGTCTCTCCTTTGTTGCACTAGTGGTAACTGCAACTTTGTTTTTATTTGTGTGATGATTATGGGACACTCATTGAAGTGCTGTGAAGGCGTGACTTATCTGCAGTATTCTCAACACTTAGCACAGCACCTGGCACCTAGTAGGCCCTCAGATATTCTCAGAATGAAGGAAGAAATGAGTGTTTAAACTTTGTAGTTTTAATCTTTCATAAATAAACATCTCGTTTCTCAAATTTTTACCATAGCGCTTTGCACATAGTAGGTCTGGTTATTTTTTCCTCTTCATGGCTCTTAAGAATTGATTTAGGTCTATTATATCTCAATAAAAGCTGGGGAAGGATTGATTTAGTTGTTTTCATTATAAAGGTAATAAAACTATATTCTAGAAAATGGGGTTGGCTGAGGAAATAATGACCCATTTTACATAAATGTCATCACACTATGCATATAATTTGATAGCTCTTTCCCCCTTTTATTTCATTTTCCTCAGTAAGTTTTCCCTATTTTTAATGGTGTTGCCATTCTTCAATGTAGTTTGTGGAGAAGAGTTTGCTTTCATGTCAGGCAACCAAAGAAACTGAAAAAGAGGTTGCTCAGATGCGTGAAAATCATAAACCTAAACCCCTTTACTTGTGGATTTGACTGAGAACAGCTGTCTAGGAGTGCAGCCAAAAACAAAAACAGAAAAGCCTATTTGCTCTCTTCTCCCTGCTATTTATTTTAAATGTTAGGGCCATAGTGCTGGTCTGTGGGCACAGGCATGTGTTCCTTATTGGCCTGGGCCACCAGGTGAGTTTTCAGTAAGCGGTAGGACTGAGGAGTCCTGGGCTTGGAGGCAGTGCGTTTAGTCAATGAGAAGCAAACTGGATAGGAGAATCAGTGCCTGCTGCCTAGTCTCCCGATGGGCATGATTCCTGATCTGACACCCAGGCTAGATATTTGTATGATGGGAGTTGGGAAGGGAGAACTCAGGCTTTATTCAAAGTTCATCTCAGACGTTAACCCCTCCTGGGGTTAATGAAGATTTACCTGATTCTTTTCAGATCAGCTAGTCACCTTCCACTTGCTCTTTTACTGGTATAACCAATAATAAAACTACATGTCCTACATCAACCACAATAAAAAAAAAACAAAAACGCTCTACATGTCCTGTGCTTTCCCAGTAGCCCAGTAGCATTTTGAGGGTAGAGACAGTGTTTTTAACTCATCTTTATAAATAGTAACTGCTGCTATTTGCAGAGTGCTTGCTATGTGCTAGGCACTGAACACTTTTCCACTTAATCCACACTCCTATGACATAGGTACTTCTTAAAAATGCCAGTTTCAAAGATGAGCAATTAAAGGCTCAGAGACATCTCATATCTGAAGCTAAACCTGGAATGAGAACCCAGGTGGGTATGAATTTCAGAGGGCACACAGACTGAATTGTGAAAGTTTATTCTCTCTTCAGTTTCCTAAAGGAAATCTTTCTGATTATGTCCAGGGGGAAGGAAGTTGGTTTGACAACGAACACTCGGTATCTAACATTTAACACTTGGCTGACTTTTGAACCAACAGAACACACGCAGGCTCAGAGCCTTTACAGAGAACGAAGTTTAGTAACTTGTTTTGTTTAACTTAGTTCCACTGTATTCTTCTATGGCAAATGATAAAGAATTTCCATTGATGATAGTGATATAAAATTTCTTCTCAAATGTGTTTAATTGCTTGCGTATGCATAGAATAATTTTGAAAGGAAGGACAAAAAAACATGATACCTGTTGCTTCCAGGCACTCTCTCTAGGTGGCTGGGGGGACTGGGAAAATTTCACCTTATCCTACTTTTCTGTACAAAACTCAAATTTTGTGACCCAAAATGGAGACAAAACAAACTTGATCAATGAGAAAATTAGTAAATAAATAATAGTGCAGAAGGTGGGGAGAATATGGCAAAAACCCATGAAGGTCTTAAGACAATGAAAGAAACTCTGTGTAAGAAACGTACGAGAGGTATGAGAATCCATTTTACAGGGGAAATCCTGGCACAGGACGGCCTATCGCCACCGCCCGCTTCCGTGAGAGCGGGACCCTCAATCCTCAGGGGATCCACCTGCGCATGCGCACGGCCTCAAGCCGGCCATCTTCCAGGCTGTATTCCATCCCCCCCGCCGAGAGCGCGCGAAAACTGCACGCACGCCTGCCGGGGACGCGCACGCACGCCCCGCCCCGCCCCGTCCCGCGCGGCCCAAGAATCCCGAGGCGGCTAGGCCCGGGTAGTTCTGGCTCCGGGAGGTAATGCCCGGGAGGGCGGGGAACGCGGAAGAGGCAGAGACCGGCGCGGAGGAGGTGGACGCGGAGGAGGTGGACGCGGAGGAGGTGGACGCGGAGGAGGCGGTCGCGGAGCAGTGTGCTTCGGCATAGTCCCACACGGAGGAGCCCGGCTCCCAGCAGGAGATGGAGGCTGGGCGGCCGCGGCCGATGCTGCGCTCAGTGAACACTCGCGAGCCGTCCCAGGTCATCTTCTGCAACCGCAGCCCGCGCGTGGTGCTGCCCATGTGGCTCAACTTCGACGGCGAGCCGCAGCCGTACCCGACGCTCCCCCCAGGCACGGGCCGCCGCATCCATAGCTACCGAGGTAGGCGGGTCGCGGTCGCCCAGTCGCGCCTGGCCGCGCCGCCCCCTTGTCCTGGCCTCACCTAGCCCGGTGCTGAGCTGTGCCCAGCGCGCTGCCCAGCGCTCTGGGTCTGATAACAACGATAACGGTGGCTCGATCTTACCGAATTCCCGCCCCGTCCGGGGAGGCAGGTGCTGTTGTCATTATTATCCCCATTTTACGCTCGAGAAACTGACGCCCCAGAGAGGTTGTGACAGATCCAAGTAGACGCAGCTAGTGACAGAGCATTCTTCTTTTAAGAGTGCATAATTTGCATTTGATGATCGACCCCACGTGTATTCCATCCCTCACGCCCATTTGTTCAGTCCGTGAATGGGAGAATCCCACATTCTCCGATGTGCCCAGTGGGCCACGTCCGCGTAGGGCCCCTGCTTTCATGGAGATCGCGGTCAAGTGGGGGAGACGAGAGAAATGCATAAGTAGTTAAGAACAAGCCAGTGTCATAATTGCTGCCATAGGAACGGAGCACAGCAAGGGCACCTGCTCAGTGAAAGGGAGGGGTGTGTGCTTTGAGTTGGAACTTCGCAGAGAATAAAGGGAATCCTGCATGATGAATGGGATCTTACTAAGCCAAGACCGGAGTGGAGAGTTGTAGGCAGAGTGAACAGCATGGGCTAGCACCTGGAGCCTGGGAAAGGGGAGAGGGTATGGAATGGTGGGAGAGGAAGTCTGAAAGGTGATCTTACCCCTAGGGAAATGGGGGCCATTGAAAGTTTTTAAGCAGGGAAATGACATTGCCTGATTTAATACTGAAAAGCTTACCCAGGTTGCAAAGTGGTTTGGAGAGGGAAGAGTACTGGTAGCAGTTAGGAAACTGTTGTAATAACCCAGGTTGAGGCTGTCTAGGCCTTAACTGCATAAGGTGGCAGTAATCTTCCCTTGGTTTTCAAGAAGAGAAGTTAATGCTTGCTAAATTTTCACTCTCTTCCTCGGAGGATCCTAATGGATCTTTTTTCCTTGAGGGTCGCATACTCAATAATGCTCTTCAAACTTTTACACCGAAGTTCTGCTAATATTAAATGAGGAACAACGCAGTTCTTCCAGGCATTAACATTTCTGTAGTCTCCTATTTTATCTAGGAAATTGTGTGAATTTTGTATTCTCCAAAATTTATCTGTGCCTGATTTAATATAAACATTAAAAAAAAAAAATTACCGGGCTTCCCTGGTGGCGCGGTGGTTGAGAGTCCGCCTGCCGATGCAGGGGGTGCGGGTTCGTGCCCCGGTCCGGGAAGATCCCACATGCCGCGGAGCGGCTGGGCCCGTGAGTCATGGCCTCTGGGCCTGCGCGCCCGGAGCCTGTGCTCCGCAACGGGAGAGGCCACAGCAGTGAGAGCCCTGCGTACCGCCAAAAAAATAAAAAAAATAAAAAATTACCACGTGAATGTACTTAATGTTATCGATACTAAACTGTACACTTAAAAATGGTTAATAGTCAATTTTATGTTATGTATATGTTACTACAAGAAAAAAAATATTACTTCCTACTTTACATTTCTTAAATTTTCCCACCAAATCTTCAAGTAAATTTATGCCCCAGGAACACATGCTGTTTTTTATTCTGAGGCAGCCTCCTCCCTCCTTAAACAGAATCTTAGCCCTGGAATTTTGTCTCCTTCCAAGTGCCCCTCTCTCTCTCTCTCTCTCTTTTTTTTTTTTTTTTTTTTTTTTGCATAAGATGTGTTTATTTCTTAAATTCAGGTATAATTTACATAGAGTAAAATACAAATGTCTTAGGGTTTGATGGGTTTTGACAACACCTAGATCAAGTTACAGATTAGAATATTTTCATCACCCCAGAAAGTTCTCTCCTACCCCTTTCACTCTTCTGATTTTTCACACCATTGACTAATTTTATCTCTTTCTACAGAAAGTACCCTTTTCTGTCTGGCTTTTTTCTTTCAACGTGATGTTTTTGTATCTTCTTGCTTTTGAGAAGCACAGTTCTGAGGAGTTGGTGACCTTTTCTCTCCTTTTAGTTTGCAGCCTTTGGTGTGATTTGCAGTTCCCATACTTTGCTTTTGCACCAAGATAGCAGAAAGGGCCTGGGTTTTGGAGCCTCGCTGGAATACTTGCCCTTCTCCTTACTGTCCCTGTTGCCTTGAGCAAGTCACTTGGCATTTTCAGACCTTTTTTTCTCATCTTTACCTGGATCTTTTGTGAGGACTAAATAAAATAACATTATTGGAATGGCTTTGTATGGTATTTAAGCAGAATGAGAGGCAGATATTTTCAGTGTCAGAGTGAGGAGATGAAGGAAATAGGTGTGTGGCTCCTTAACCTTTGCTTGTCTGAACAGGTGATCTTTGGCTGTTCCGAGATGCTGGGACATCTGATGGGCTCCTAGTTAACCAGACTGAGCTGTTTGTGCCGTCTCTCAATGTTGATGGACAGCCTATTTTTGCAAACATCACACTACCAGGTAATGATGTTCCATCTTTCTTTTTAAAAAGATAGGCTGTTGTACTAAGTAGAGGATAGGCCACTTGAAGGAGCCCAGTCATTAGTGATTTTTGCCTGATGCTGAGCAAGGTATCCAACCTTTCTGTGTCCTGTTCTCCACCATGAATAAAGTGGAAGTAATTTACTTGTATGCTGTATGTTGGACAAAGATGTCGTGGTATCTCAGAAGCTCTTTGGGCTGGTCAAGGGTGGGCTACATTAAAATACTTGATTGTAGAATTATGAATGCGTTTTGTTTCGCTGGCTGTGGAGCAGAATTATGCCCTGGAGTCTCAGGAGAAAAAAAGGTGTAGAGAATGAGATATCATGGCTTTTTTACTGACTTCTAGTGTTGTATCTTTTGGTGTAGTTTAACCCAGTCAAGGTCACTGTGTCAATCAGGGGTTTTAAGAAGAATCACCAAATTGAACATTAGCTTCACAGCTTACCACTTGTTTAAAACTCAAGTGATTTTATTAGGTTGAACCCTTAGAAACTGATGATCTGTTGGGTTAAAAAAACCCAAATACCTGCAGCTTCAAATGAGTATGTGTATGTAGGGTTCAAACTAGTATGTGTATTTAGATCCTGCTTTAAGGCAGTGGGTATACAGAAGTGAGCACTGGTAAGTTAAATGTAGGAAATTTTGCCTTAAAGGAGACCTTTAAAGAGTAAGTTCCCCAGTAAGTTTAAAATAGGATTTGAGTTCCCCCAAAATCCAGTTATACACTTCTTTGGTTATCTATTGCTGTGTGACAGCTACCCCCAACCTAACAACAACCATTTTGTTTATAATTCTGCAGCCGGGGCAGACCTCAGCTTGGTGGTTATTCTGCTCACTGGTGATCACTGCCTTCTGCTGACAGGTTGGCTGGGGCCTGGGCCTCTCTCTCGGGTCATCTCAGGGCCTGGCCCTCTTTGTATGGTCTCTCCTGATGGGTAGGTCAGGGCTCCTGAGAGTGTAAAAGCGAACGTTGCCGGGGCTTCTTAAGGCTGAGACCCAGAATTGCCACAGCGTCACTGTGCCCACATTCAGTTAGTTAAAGCACATCCCCAGGCTCAGCCCACTCTCGGGGAAAGTTCCTACACAGGGTCATGAATACTGTGAGATGTCTGTTGCGGCCATCACATTACACTCTGCCACAACCCATGTACTCACTTTTTTTGTCCAAAGCGAGGTCCAGCTGTTGCAAATGTAATTGCCACGGTTGGCAAAGCCTCTCACTCAGCCCTTGTCCTCAGGCCTGAGTCTGCTGCTGAGAGTCGGTTTTCTGCCCTTACAGTGTACACCCTGAAAGAGCGGTGCCTCCAGGTTGTGCGAAGCCTAGTCAAGCCTGAGGATTACAGGAGACTGGACATCGCGAGATCCCTCTACGAAGATTTGGAAGACCACCCAAATGTGTGGAAGGACCTGGAGCGGTTGACCCAGGAGCATATTGAAAATCAGCGGATGGCAGAGGAGACTGAAGATTTTAATTGAAATTTACACTCCTGGGTCTCGGCTTTTGACAGTCCTGACAAGTCTTGATCTAGACCTAGGACTGGTCACTTTTTCTCGGCTTCAAAGTGTCTCATTCTTGGACTCAGAAAGCTCCATTGCTTAAAAGAAAGTTAACTGACCTCAGTACTGGGCACTGTGGTGTTTAAGGACAAATATCACAAAATGTAATTTAATGCCTGTCCCTTCTAGAAGTATTTATGAAGGGAAAGTAGTTGCATTTTTGCCTCCTAGTGGGTCAGGAAAGTTTCTGTGTAAGGACTTTTGTGTAAGTAATTCAGTGAGAATTGTAGCTTATCCTTGAGTTGTAGGAAGGCAGTGACGTCTGCTTTTCATTCCTGTATTGTGGTTGGTGATGTCCCCGCGTCCCGCACTGAGAGACCAAGATGTCCTTGGGGCAGGGGCATAGCGGTCTGCTCTTTGGGACTCCAGTGCCTCGCACGTTATGAGCCTTCCCTCAGTGTTTGTTGAATGAACAAACCAGCGGCTACTTCGGTAGAAAGTGTTAGAGGTTTTCACCCTGTTTTTTGAGGGCGGGTGGTAGTGGGGACCTTAAAGTATATACAGTAAACAAATGTTTTAAAGGGCATCAGTTTTATAGAAAGCAGTTTTTATAATTTTCTAAGTTGTGGCTTTTCTCTGCCCACTGTTGTCACAGAGCTGTTTTACTTCTGTTTCTAAGCCAGGATTAGCTTTCTACAGTTCTTATTGATGATAGCTTTTTTGAAACTTGCTGCGTGCACAGAAGATAGGAGAAAATAGCCATCCCCTTGTTTAATCATAGTATTAAAGAGCTACTCCTGTACTATAAATGGGTTTTTGCCAAATGTGGGTACTTCTGTTCCTTTTTGTAAATCCATGACATTTTTGTTCGATTCAGCAGTTTTTCATCAGGCAGGATCTGGTGGCACTTTGCACCTGGCTGGAGGAGAGGGCAAAGCCCTCCAGCCTCTCGGAAGTTACTGCTAACACACCGGATTCAGAGGGTAGCCTGGAATGTTTTCTAATTTTATACATGTACAGATCCTTCCCGATAGGCTGGACTTAAATTCAATACTTCTATCAGGCCTCCTTTTTTGGTAGCTAATCGTTAAAAAAACCAAAAAACTCCCCAGTAGAGAAAGTGTTGGAAGAGACAGAAAAGTAAAGGAAGAGAAAAGATCCAATTAGGTACACTACTTAAATACAACCACTAACTTAACATTTGGAACTTTTAGCCTTTTTTTGGCTTGGTTTTATGTAGTTGAGATCATACTGAATATAAAGTTTTGTATTCTACTTTCTCATTTAACTTTATAACTTAAATATTTTTCCATGGTATTATAAGCTCTTCATAGACATGAGTGCAGCCTTCCTTTTATAAATAATGTTGGGATATTTCTTGGCATCTTTTTTAGTTCCTTTGAGCACAGTTCCTATGCTCTGATATCAGAGTGAAGCGAATGAATCAAATGCTGTACAGTTTTCCCACCTAATCTTATTCTCCTCTTTCAACATTCAGCAAGTAAGTTGGCTTTTTTTTTTTTCTTTAGCCTGTTGTGGTACTCATTCGGTGACACACCTATAATTTTTTATCTAACTTTTTTGTCGAATTGTTGGGTAGGGAAGAAGAAACGCTGGTACAGAAGGAAGCCATATGATTTCGAAAGTGGGATAGGATGGGAGATTTTTTTTTTTTTTTTTGCGGTACACAGGCCTCTCACCGCTGTGGCCCCTCCCGCCGCGGAGCAACAGGCTCCGGAAGCGCAGGCTCAGCGGCCATGGCCCACGGGCACAGCCGCGCCGCCGCACGGACCGCGGCACGAACCCGTGTGCCCTGCATCGGCAGGCAGACTCCCAACCACTGCGCCACCAGGGAAGCCCAGGATGGGAGATTTAAGGAAGCCTGCTGGTGCTCGATGAGTTCAGTGTTGGTTTTATTATTTTTTAAACCTGTCTTTGTGTCAAAATGAGATTTCATGTTCCTGTCAAAACTTGCAATTTGAGTACTGTGTTTTTTGTGTTGTCCAAGGAAGATTGAAAACCTATAGCATGTATGTACTCATTTGAAATCTTAAGAATGTATTAAATGTATTACTTTTAAGAGACTGTGATCTTATCTATTTTGAGATAAAAAAAGCTTTTTTGGATACATTAAATGGTGCTAAGTAAAGGAAATAGGTAAGGTGTGGTGGTGTCATTTGCCAGGCTCTTCTCTCTTGGAGAGGTGTGAAGGCCATGTTTGCTTAAAGGCTTAAGGGGGGCGGGGTGGGGGGGGTGAGGTGGATGGACAAAGGCAAGAAACCTGCTTTCATTCTCAGTTCCTTCTCTTTCCAGCACTGGATTTTGTTTAAAACTTTGTTTCTTTTAGCTTTATTTTTCTTGTAAAAATGAAATATCACTGTAAAAAATTTAAGCTCTACAGAAAAGTATTAAGAAAAAAAGCATTCACATTTGGAACACAGGTGGTTTGTTTTTGTTTTTTTTCATGAAAATAGAACCAACCGTAACAGACACCTCATACAGGTGGCAACTAAGTGTATGAAAAGATGCTCCACATTATATATCATCAGGGAACTGCAAATTAAAACAACAGTGAGATACTACTACACACCTATTAGAATGGCCAAAAGAAAAAAAAAAGAATGGCCAAAACAAAAAAAGAAAGGCCAAAATCCAGAACACTGACAATACTAAATGCCGGTGAGGATGTGGAGCAACGGGAACTCTCATTCATTGGTAATGGGAATGCAAAATGGTACAGCCATTTTGGAAGACAGTTTGGTGATTTCTTACAAAACATATTCTTATCGTACCATCCAGTAATTGTGCTCCTTAGTATTTACTCAAAGGAGTTGAAAACTTATGTCCAAAAACTTGCACATGGATGTTTACAGCAGCTTTGTTCATAATTGCCAAATCTTGGAAGCAACCAAGATGTCCTTCAGTAGGTGAATGAACACATAAACTGTGATATAGTGGAATAACTCTCATACAATGGAATATTACTCAGCATTAAGATGAAGTGAGCTGTTAACCATGAAAAGACACGGAGGAAATTTAAATGCATATTACTAAGTGAAAGTAGACAGCCTGCCAATGCAGGGGACACAGGCTCGATCCTTGGTCCAGGAAGGTCCCAATGCCGTGGAGCAGCTAAGCCCATGCGCCACAACTACTGAGCCTGCACTCTAGAGCCCACGAGCCGCAACTCGTGAGTCCACGTGCTACAGTTACTGAAGCCCGTGTACCTAGAGCCCCTGCTCCACAATGAAGAGAAGCCACCGCAATGAGAAGCCCATGCACCGCAACAAAGAGTAGCCCCTGCTCACCGCAACTAGAGAAAGCCCGCGCACAGCAACGAAGACCCAACGCAGCCAAAAATAAATAAATAAATACATAAGTAAATAAAAATTAAAAAAAATACTGTCATCTTTGTTAAAAATAAATAAATGATAAATAAAAAGGGGTAAGGGTGGGCTTCCCTGGTGGCGCAGTGGTTGAGAGTCCGCCTGCCGATGCAGGAGACACAGGTTCGTGCCCCGGTCCGGGAAGATACCACATGCCGTGGAGCGTCTGGGCCCGTGAGCCATGGCTGCTGAGCCTGTGCGTCCAGAGCCTGTGCTCCGCAGCGGGAGAGGCCACAACCGTGAGAGGCCTGCGTACTGCAAAAAAAAAAAAATGGAAGGGAGACTTTGTTGGGGGGTTGGGGGTTGGGGGGGTGGCAGGAGGTATATAGGAAATCCTGTACCTTCCTCTCAATTATGCTGTGAACATAAAACTGCTCTAGAAAATAGTCTATTTAAAAAAAAAGTGGTTAATATCTCACCAGGACTTATATTGAGAATGTGATAAAAACAGCAACGGGGCACTCAACTCACTAAGGCCATGAAATAGATACCAGTGTTTTGCATTCCTGAAATAGGAACACCAGTGAACTTTTCAGATACTTTCATGCTAGGTTTCTGTATCCCGTTCTTAGCACCTCAGCCCTACTCTATGCTAATCACTGGGCTGCCTGATACCCTTTCACCGTTTCCCCATTCTGTCAACACACCTGAGCTCCCTGCCTCAACAGAACATTTTCCTGGGGACTTTCCCCCATCACCACACATACCCAGTATTCCATTGGCAGATCACAGAAGAATGAAATATACTTGTGATAACCAAAAGGGGCAATAGTACTGGATAGGTAAATGAGAGAGAAACCCACAAAACTAGTTTCAGAATTTGGAACATGAAACCTCAGGAGAGTATGAGTTGGCTTAACTTACACTAAATAGCAGTACGCTCTCTCCGTATTCAGGTAGAAAACACAGAAGATTGTTTTGTTCCAGTTGGGAGAAGTTGAGTCCTTGAGGACTGGGCTGGCCCTGCAGATGTTTCTGAAAAACCCAGAGGAAATCATAGCGAACCATTTTATCCTCAGGTAAATTAAACGAGAGTTAATTGGGCAAAGGATAGCCTAGCAGCAGTTTGCTAGGGAGGATGTGAGATGACATTCTTCACCTGGAGAAGGGTGATCAGGTACCCTGGTCCAATGCGGGGATATTGAGAACTCATGCTGCAGTTATCCAGTGCTCAGAAGCATCAGGTGGGAACTAAACGGGAGGGTTATTCTAGCAGTTCTGGATTACCCTGTCCTGTAGCAACTGCAGAGAGTGGGGGGAATTTGGAGGGGGGTCTGGTGTGTCCTCGGGGTAGCAGTTTTCCAACTATTGGTTTATGGTTTTCCTTGATAGACTTTAGGACTTCCCTACCCTTCCTGTAGATGAGAAAGCAGACCCCTCTGGAACAGACCCCAATACTGGAAATAAATGTACATTAATAGGAAGTTGGCCAAATGAAGTGTGGTGCTCCTAAATAAACTATTAAAAAGGAAAAGGTAGATGCTTATTTAAGAACCTGAAAAACTATTATTAATTGAAAAACATTTACAGAAAATTAATTGTTTTAATTTTTTTATATTAAAAATTAATTTTATAGAGGTCTAAAAATATGTG